AAAAAAAAAACCTCAACGGGAAATCCGCACAACAGTATTCTTTTTCCCCCTCTCCAGCTTGTTTAACACATATGTTCATCGCTTCACCCATTCGTTGTCTTCGCTTTTACCCTCAAATTAATCGGAAGGCATCCTCGCCATATCATTCAGAAAGAAACGAAAAGAAAGACATGAATGGCTGCTGCGACAAAATTTTATCTGGGTTTTCTTTCGTTTCTGCAAAGTTGAAATTACCTTTGTTTAGGTTGTAATAGTCCAAAAATTGGGGGTCGTCTTTGGCGTTTTCGCCGTCGTTATTGGCGTTATCCACTTCGCCATTCGAGCTAGCCATTTTGTTGTTTCCCATGTTGGCAATTCCCCGTATCCCGTTGGCTACATCACTGAGGCCGCTTAACTGGTGGGTTAAAATCTTCCTCTTCACGTTAAACAGATCCATGTCGTTTTTACCAATTGGGTAATTCTCTCTCTGGTGGCCCTGATACAGATGCATCATCATGTGGGTGTCCCCCGCATCGTCGGCGCTGTTTGCATCCGGCATGTCTTCCCTTTTGCTGTCTAATTGGAGTTTCATTTTGGTCAATACTGGCTCGCTTGAAGTGGCCGATTGAATCGTATCGTTAATGTGTTCCTTCTTCATCGTTGGTGCAATTTCTCCATTTTGCTCCTCCGCCTGTTGATTTGCACTCGTTTCTTCCTTCCCATACAGTCCCCCCCCCAGCGCATCCGTTTCTAGCGTCTCATCGGAGCCCTTCACCCCTTCCGGCCCTATGTCTGTTATCGTAGACATATCAAAAGAGAACTGCTTGTTCCTGTTGCAAATGTCCTTCTTCATCTTATCGGTGGTTCTCTTCAATTTTAAGATTCGGTTGAATTCCACGACGCCGACAATTTCGTACGTTATTTGGGCAATGTTATCCCACTGCTCTGGGGAGAAGACTAAATTGCCTTTCATGATCCGCTCGTATAGATTTTTGAGGCACTTGATTATTTCTAGAAGGTTGACTTCGCTGGTGTTTTGCTCTTCGTCTGCGTGGTGTGCGCTACATCCGGACTTGTGGTGGACGCTTCCTCCGTCATTCCGTTCGTTGCTTGCACTGCCGCAATCACAGTGGTAGTTGTAGTTGCAGCTGTATTTTCCGCTCCCGCTGTAGTCCGCCCTGGAATCACCAATCGCGTCGCCCCCGTTCGGCAGCATCGTGTTCCTGAGGTAATTGTCGATCTCCTCCTCGTCATCCTCCACCACGTCATCGCTTGTCACGTCATGTTCGTTAAAGTTCATTTCTTGAGCGGCGGTGCTACAGCTAGAGTAATTCTGCTTCATCTTCAGCATGTTAAAATGGTTCTTCCAGTTGTTGCTGGGGTGGAGTGCTTCCGTGATGTGGGTCGACATGCTCGATTTCACTGAGGAGCGATTCTCTCCTTTGGTGAGGTTACCCCCCAGGAATTCGCTATAGTGAGTGCACGAGAGCCCATTTGGAGGAGCCTTCCCCATCTCGGTGCTTCCCCCGTGAGGCGCAACACCCATCATGTTATTATCAAAATGGGCGAAGGAACTAATGGGGTAACTCAATCCGCCTTTCGAGCAGGGAGAAAAATGATGCATGGTATTTTGCTCACCAAATAGGATCCGACTTTTTTTTAAATCTTCCTCCGAGGAGTTATTCATTAAATTGTGGGTGAAAGACAGGGCGAGCTTTTTCCCACAACCCATCTTATACGCATCTGTGTTGTTTTGAGGGATGGAGTCAATAGAGGAATACGGAGAATGCTTCATGCAGTTGCTCATTTTGCTAAACTGTGCGCTGTCGAAATTTTTCAGATTATCCACTAACTTGAGATCATTTCGCTTCTTAGCCGAAATGGCATTCTTTATATGTCTATCTCCACCACTTATGTTTGCATTGGTCTTACTCGCGATGTCAATTTTATCGACGATGATTACGTTTGGGATATTGGGAATGTTGATTCCATTTGTGAATGGCAACTTATAGGTGCCTGGAATTCTGGTCTCTGCCAAGCCGTGAATGAACGGACAGTAATACGTGTTGCAGGATCCTTTTTTATAATCTTCACAGCGTTTCGTTTTATAATACAAGGGATGGTACAGGATTTCCTCCGCTGAGTGAGCGAAGGGGCATTCTCCACCTCGAAGACACAGACTGTTTATCGAACCATCCCCTTTGGTCTCCACATCTGGACACATAACTGTTATATATCGAATGAAGGAAGAATCACTCAGATAGAAGGGACATCGTCTATTCCAGAATTCGTTGTGGCTGTACTGGCACCTGTCTATTCCAAAGTTGCACCCTCCGTTCAGCAGCCGCTTGCACTGCTTCGTCCTGAACCGACTCAGGTCCTCCTCGCTCAGCAGCGTCGCGTACACCATGGTGGGGAGGGAAGCGGCGGGTAATCGCGACGGACAATCGAGGTTGCTATTCCTATTAGCGCAGCGTGGCGGTTCTTCCTCTTCAGTGCGTGCTTCGATGGGCGTCTGCTCGGGCGAACAGCGGAAGGATGGAAGACCAAATTGAAGGGGAAGATATGGGCCAGGAAAACTGCAGACACGAAGACCTCCTCGCGTACCAGGCGGAGTCTCTACGCTGTAGAGTCAGGAGAGGTGGGGCAAAAAAAAAAATAAAATAAAAAAATAAAGTATAACAAAAAAAGAGGGCTGCGGACAGCTAAAGCAAAAATTATATTATTCAAAAAATAAATATTATAATACACTAGGGTGTGATGAGAGGACACGCAAGAGTGACAAGAAAAAGCGAATTTTGTTTCTTTTTTTTTTTTCTTTGCACAAATGTTCAATTAAAAATAAATCTTAAACGGTGACTACTTAAAATGTGGGAGGTGGCAACTTGTGCAGAAGTAGAGTGGGGAATGTAAAGGGGCAAAGATGTAAAGAAGCAAACTTCTAATGGGGAAAACATGAAACGACGTGGAAGGGCGTGGCGAAGTGGGCGTGTAGAATGATGAACCCGACAAACTAAAGTGTCTTTCCTTTTGGTAATATTCACCAACTGACGTGAAGCCTGGAAATTATGCACATTGAGTAGATATAGACCCACGCGCGTCTATGCAAACAGTATGCAAAGCGCTACACGTGCGAATGCGATGGGACCACTCCTAAACCAAGTGGTAGCAACGCGCCGCAGAAGTAATAAATAAAAAAACAGGGGGTTCACAAAAAATTCAAAAATTAAAGACTCAAATTATAAATTCAGTCTACTCGTAGGCCGCACAAGGGGAGCGACGGACGGACACGTCGGATAAAAATATGAATATACCTATGCACAATTTTTATGTACTGAAAAGCGAATTATAAAACAAAATTCGAATGAATAAAAAAATAAAATTTTCTTTCGGTCGCACATGTTTCACCGCGGCGGTTAATCATGTGCTGTTAAAGAAGAAAAAAAAAAGAAAAAAAAAAGATAACTTCTTTGTCTTCTTAATTTTTAGCATTCAAAAAAAATGACTTAATTTGGTGGAATTCTTGAAGGGCGATAAGCACATAGGAGAAGATACACAGCGCGTAGTGGCATATAGGGGGGGAGGGGAGGTTGCCGCGCGCAGAGAAAAAACGTCTAACATGGGTATGCTGATGTAGGCGAAGCAAACACATGCAAACGTTTGTAAAAAAGAAAAAAAAAAAGAATTAAATTTCAAAAGGTAACAAAGGTTAACGTAAACAGGTGGTTAGCTCCACTACGTTAGTTTTCGTTCTGTTCTCCCCTATTTGTTTCTTCTTGTTTTGTTTTTTTTTATATGAACCCTCGTCGTTTTATCATCTACATGCAGGTAAATTTAAGGAGTGCAGTGCGTCTGCAATTTATGGCAATATTGCAATCGGTGATTACGTACACTTCAGGGATCGCATGTTTCCTCGTCGTGTAAAATGACAAATGATGCAGAAGAGGTGGAGGATGGGTAGATGCAGGTCGCACAGATACTTACCGACGCGCAGACGCCCAAAGAGGTGCCGCAGGATGAATCAGTTTTGGAAGGAGCGCAGTGAAGGCAATTCGGGGGGTGCAAGTGTGCAATTGTGTATGTGTGCATATATAACCATCTGGGTGTAGGACGGATGAGTGCTCCTCTTCTGTACGTATATTTGCTTTTCTTTTTATTAAAAATAATTTAAAATGCATAATTAAATATTAATAGATTGAAAAATAAATCCACATGGTCTTAGTAGTAAAAAGAAAAAATGACATTAAAAGGGTGTTTTTTTTTTTTTTTTTTTTTGCCCCTTGCATATAGGGAACAGGGCCAAGCGAAAGTGAAACGAATTAGCAGAAAAGGTGGAGAACACTAATCAACATAAGGTGAATGTGAAATTAAAATGGGATGAAATGAAATGATGAGGGTGGGCACAAACTAAGCACAGCGTCAACAATTATCAAACGTGTAAGGATGAGGGGGACATATACTAAGACATATGCCGATAACTCTTTTAGTGACTGGGGGTCAAAAATTAACAAATGAATTCGTCAAACTTTTTAGACATTACTTTTTTTTTTTTGGTACATATAATTTTTTCACAATAAAAAGAGGTGTGTAAGTCAATGTACGCACAACTGTACGTACGCGTGAACAGGGGCACATAAACACATCTACCTGTGTCTGTACGAGGGTGTATACATTAACGTGGGATGGAGTTCCACACAGATTAAGTCTGGTTCGAATTTCGGGGGACGAAAAATGAACAAGGGGAAATTAAATTGACGAAAAAAAAGGAAACACATGTGTAGAAAGCAGTCACATGTAGAAAGAAGTCACATGTAGAAAGAAGTCACATTGTAGAACGCAATCCTCGTGAAGGTATTCACTTGAATCAATCGTGGTCGTAGTGATGCGTAATGGGACATGGTAGCATGAAAAGGAGGTGGTGGTGTGTGTACTAAATCTAAAATTCTGTTAAAAAAAAAATTAGTACGCTTTTTTAAACTCTTTAGACTTTTTTAAACTTTTACACATCTGTAAACTTCTTAATTTTTTGTAAACTTTTTAAATTTTTGTAAACTTTTTTAAAATTTTTTTGGCATCATTTTAAACCTTTTAAACTTTTTAACGTCACTTCAAATTTGTCTTTGCAGAAGAAACAAAAAATTCATCACGCCATGAAAAACGAGCTGTGAATCCAGACGGATTCGCCAGGGGGGAAAAGTTGCAGGGAGGTTAACAAATGCAAAAAAAAAAAAAAAAAACGAAACGGAAACGAGCGGGGAACAAAGTGGTTAAGCCGTTTGTGAAGCGAGTTGTCGGGCGCTTCACCACGCGCCGGAAAGACAAGCGAGTGAGTAGATGAACGGACGAACAGATGAGCGAAGGAACTGCAGCCGCGCGTGCCCCTGGGACGTCCACCACGCAAATGTAAAGGTATATATGGACAACGGAAATCACACAGGTGCTAATTTAAATGGTGTTCCGCGTTCCCGAACACGAAATGAAACGCACGTGTAGTAGGGGAAAAAAAAAAAAAGAAAAAAACACACATACAACACGCAACAACAGCGCCAGATTGTAGTGCATAAATTCTAGACGTGAGAATTTAAATTTAATTATCCTGAATTAGGGAAAATTAATTAAAAGTATAAAGGACCAAAAAAAATAAACAAAAATAAATTAAAATAAAAAAGAAAAAATGGTGTAGAAAAATTAAAAAAAAACGAAATAGATAGAGGTGCAATTCGCTCTGCAACGGAATTGTACTCACGCCTCTGCACGGCAATTTCGTTAAAGAGAAGCAGAACAGGATGACACCAATCGAAATGAAAAAAAACGAATGGATGCCCTTGTACCAAACCGTTGTAGAATTTGTGTCATGCACGTGATTCTTCCATACACACATGAACGAGTTAGGCGCGCTTGTCTTTTGCATTTCCGCTTCGTCTGATTTGGGCAAGAAGAAAAAAAAAAATTACACTCTTAGAGCGCGCAATATTTCTGCGCAGAAAAAACGGAAAAAAACTTCATCAAAAAAATTCATCAAAAAAATTCATCAAAAATTTTCGTCAAAAAAATTCGTGAAAATTTTTTTTCACACGAGTTGAGAAATCCACGTGGGTCTTCGCCCAACACTTGCGAGGGAAGGGCAAGATGATATGCCTGGAATCATACATGAGGACGGATAAGTACAAAATCGTATGCTCAGTACGCTATTATACGCAGCATATTCGTACATTTACGCGTGTACGCTACTTCCCCGCATGTGCGTTAACATCACATAGTACGCCTCTTAAGGTGTGTGAACTCGCACGGACACGTGTTAAAGGAAACACTCACCACAGCGGCGCGAGAGAAAAATTCTTCTAATCTGCAAAACGTTGTACGTGACAAAAAAGACGGGAAAAAAGGAAGAATGCATATGCAAATTTTTTCGCGCGGAGAGAGCAGCTGTTCGTTCGTCCACTTGGACATGATTTTGCTTCTTATTTTGTCTTCAAATTGAAGTGAAGCGTGGGAAAGGCGAAAGTGGAAAAAGTGGCCAAAGTAGCAAATGTAACAAAAATGACAAAAGAAGTGAAAAAATATTGCCAATTTGGGACATCGCCAAATTAGCCAAACAACCGACACAGTATCGCGCTGCGGCCTGGGAATGCCCAACCGCGGTGGGTCTGCCGCTTGACCCCTTTGAGCGTCAGCGGCAGGCCTAAATTCGAAAACGGTTGGTCCGGCAAAAACTTCAGTTCATTTCGCATTTATCAGAATTGAACTGATCATTAAGGGAAAAAATATATATATATATATTCGTATATATAGCTAAAATAAAACACATTTTGTACTTACCAATTAGGCCAATTTGACGCTCCCGTTGAAATGAAGCAGAATGGAAAAAAAAACACAACATTGGCATTCTTCAAATCTGAGCGAGGAGAGTGTATGTGCGGTATTACATGTGCCCATAAAAAAGCGATGATAAAACCCGCATATATATGCCTATGCTATACGCCTTTATAAGATCATCTCCATGCAACTGGCACACACTGCCCTTTAGTTAAAATGCCACTCGACTGTGTATATAAACGTTTGCGCATCGAAAAGGCGTAACAAGGGTTGTATGCATATGTACACACATTGTGGATGCAAATATTTATTAACACTTACAACAGATTGTTATATGATTAATTCTACATGCGCTTATCTGCCCCCTATCACATGTTCTGGAATAATTCCAATTGTGCAGCTCAAATAGAAGGTGAGAAAAACAAACAGTTGGTTTACTCCAAATTGGAGCTCAACAAAATCGCCTTTTTTTTTTTTTAATTTTTCACACATGAAAGGAAAATGAAGTATATCCTTCGCGTGACGAAAAAGATTCTCCCTCCTCATTTGTATCCTTCTTAATGTTTTTATGTGTATACTTCACGTGGTCTAATAAGTTGACACTTGTTCTTTCATATGTGTGAAGCACTTATTACAAATGCTGCCTGGGGAAGCAAAAAAACAGTTCGTCCAAATGTGTGATCACTTTTGGAAGCGACGGGGGAAATAATGAAAAAAAATATGAAAAGGTCCTAAAAAAAAGGAAAAAAAAAAAATATGAAGAAGTCATAAAAAGATGAGAAGAAAAAGGACGAATAAACGAACAAATTGTGGCATATTTGTGTGCCAAAAATACGACGTCGCTCTCTTTATTTTTGGCATTATCGCAAATAATTTTGTCGCGAAAAAAAAAGGAGGCACTCATTTTCTTGCGCGTATAAAGTACTCCATCCTTTGCCCGCCTTTACACACATATTGGGGAGAACGAACAATTCTGAAGTTATCCATGCAGATGTTCACCTGTTCTCTTTTTATGTTGCCTCATAAGCGTAGCAGAGAACCAAATAGTAGACAACTTTGTGCGTTTATTTCTTTTTAACGAGAAGCCAATTTTTACTTCATACATGCTGATATGACACAGCATGCACAAGTGAGGCAAATAAAATTTGGCACTGAATTTTGTGGCCTCAAAAAAGGTACAATTTTGCTGTGTAGGCCACTTTTTTGGTTGCCCTCCACAAGGGGAATTATTGAAAAAAATGGAAAAAGCATGAGTCCTTTTCGCGCCACCATGCATGTGATATTTTCACGTGGTTCGTTTTTAAAATGGAAAGAAGTATGAGATCTGCACCATATTTTAGCAAAAATGTGAATAAGAAAAATCATTAGCGAGGTACACAAAAAAAGATAGCTCAGTGGTGACTTACGTCTGTATGCATACCCCAAGTGGTTTCTTCCTTTTTGGGGGGGATTAAAAGGAGAAGAGCAAGTGCGCTCGGGGGGACACAAAGCCGCTAAAACGGTTGTGGGTGAAATGGCGACATTGTCCCGCCGCATCCCGGTAACGCGGCAAAATTTGCGGAACAAAGGAAGGCACCACTGCTGTGCCTGTACGTCTCTCTGGTCAATTTCACGCCAAGTTGAACTTATACTTGTGTGTGTTAAAGGCAATCTCCGATTTGTTCCTCTCAACTTTTGTGATGTCATAAAAATCTAGAGACTTTATTTGGGGCAAGTAGTGAATAACGAAGGGGCTGCAAAATGGGAAGTGGGGGACAACACAACTTCTGCTATATAAGAAAAGATTAAGCTATGCGAAGGAACTCCCTGGGGGAAAACTCGTGAACGCGGAAGAGAAAATGCCCCTTCGCATGCGCCCGTTTTTTACCGATAGAACTTGCCGTAGATATCCATAACGGGGTTATTCTCCACAGTGAGTTTCCTTAATTTCGACAGACAAGCCACCTTCTGAATTTCGTTAATACTCTCTATCTTATTTGAATGCAAATACAACACTTTTAGGTTACTTAGGCAAAGCAAATGCTCTCCCACTCCGACCAGGTCATTGAATGATATGTCGAGACAAATGATGCCGGAGTAGTAGTCGCCCAACATCTGCATCCCCTTCTGTTGGTATATGTAATGTAGGAGATCCTTTAACAATTCGGTGCTTTCCAAATTGTTATTATTTATGTTTAAAATTTTCCTGTTTGTGGAAAAGTTAATTTCTTTATCATTATGTTTGTAAATCATTTTTTGCAGTTCATGTAGATCTTTCTTCTTGTAGGGAATCATTTGATTTGTGCCTGCCCAAATTTTGGTTGTCTTCTCAAGGCTGATGTACTTTTCCGCTCTTTGGCTCTCTTCATTGTTCACGTTTTCGTTGAGGCTTTTCCTTTTTTCGGAACTGTCCGATTCTTCATTTGACTCTCCGCTCTGGGGGGAGGGTTCATCATGTAAAGAGGGGTAGCAAACAGGGGTAGCAAATAATGGCAGCAAACAACAGCATGAAACGACGATAGTGCAAAACAGAAACTGAAATGTTGTCCCTCATGGGGACTGCTAACCCTTTAGGCGTGGTGTCAGAAAGTGTAACACCCGTGCACAGCTGAACCCTACTCGGATGGCCCCTTTTTTTACTCTCTCCCTGCGCTCACTTTTTTACCTTACCAAAGAATCATTCGCCTCATAATACCTATGCGCACTTCCGTACTCTTGGTAAATGGACTCCATCAAATTCAGGCTATCCATTTTGTCCAGCGGGGGGAGGCGATCAGTCAGGGGCAGTGATTGGCAGTGATGAGCAGGGATCAGCGGCGGTTTGTAAGCCCACCCCCCATGCGCTTTGATTAATCCGAATACTGAGTCTCCGATGGGCCCCCTCCTACACAGGGAAGTGCTCTAAATTCTTCCTTTTCACCAAATAAAATGGTTCCCTTATGGGGGAAAAGTTATTAAAGTCATTTTCACGTGGAGTGCATAACGCTTTGCAAAGCGACGCGGTTCGAAATGCACACACTGGGGTGGACCTGTCAGCTTTATGTTTCGCTGATAACGAATTAAAGAGGGGGGAAAACGACATGGGAAACGAAGAAAGGCGAGAATGCACGCCTTGCAAATGATATGCGGTTGGGGTGACGTTCTTTCGTAACGCCGGGAAGCACAAAAAAAATGAAAAAAAAAAAAAAAATTATTACGAACATTGCGTGGAAAACGAAACATTCTCACAGACGCGCATTGGAGACAAATGAAGACACAAAAAAATTTAATTAAAAATATTTTTTCCCCTTTTTTGAAGCGACGGAGGGATTCGCTAACAGGGTAAAAAAAAAGAATAAATAATAATAACAATCCAATGGAGGGAAAAAATCAAAGAGAGTGAAGAAGAACCTTCTTACCACTTCTCGTATTAAATTTAAAAAGTGGCTACGCTACTGTTTCTTTTCACCCGCTTCAAATCATTATGAACACAAAAAAAAAAATCGCATCAGGGCTTTGATAACGACTAAATGAAAAGGCGAGATGGAGAACTCCTTGCAGGACAACGTGCGTGTGAGGCCCTCCAAGTGGGACCACGCCGCGTTTGCCCTGCCAGGGGGTGATACACCTCTACACACATTTCAAATATTTACTAAGTTAGATGCTTCATCTTCCCATCTCTGCTTCTTCATTCTGCTCCCTCGGCTACTTCAATTTACCAGCTTGGCCTTCTTCAGAAGCTTCCTCTTCATCTTTTCCGTCTCTTCAATATTTTTCAGTTTGACTTCGATGGGCAAGGGTATCTCCGTTATGCCTGTGATGCAGCTTAGCTTCTCCGGGTTACTGGCAACAGAGCTCTTAACTTTTAAGTGGTCCGATAGCTTGTACAGATCCTTCACAGAGTCATCACCCGCCTGGGCATCACCATGGCAATCACCATCTCTCGTCCCATCGCTGTTCCCATCGCTGGCACCGTCGTCGCCGTCCCTTCTGCTGTTGCTCCGCTTAGCGTCTTGGTAGAACTGCTCCATATTTTTTCGAATAAAATCTTCTATGTGTGCCTGTTCGATTTCCTTCTCCGTGACATTTTTGGTGAAATGTTTTTCGTGCCGTTTATTTTCATTTTCTTCGTCCTGTGTGGTTACGTTATGATTACTTAGGTTGTCCGCATTTATTCCCTTCTTTTTTAACCTCACATATTGTAGTAATTTTAAGTTTTGGGACGCTTTTAATTTATCTAATTTTCTTTCTTCCTCATCCTCTCCATCTTCACTGTCATCATTTTTTTTTTTTTTCCGCTCCCCGGGGGAGTGGCCACATTCAATTCCTCGTCTTTCCCAAATGGTACCCTCCTCTTCCCTTTCCCATCCATCCGGACCTTCCGCTTCTTAATCATCTTGACAACCCCCCCCCGGGATGATACACGATGTGATACAAGATGCGGTATAAAATACGGTACAGAAGGCGGTACAAAAAATGGTAGAGAATTTGGTATAAAAGGCGGCACAGAATGCGGTACATATTTGTGGCGTGAAATGGGCTATGGGGCTCGTTGCCTTATGGGATAAGAGATGCGACCGATGAGATGCTATGCTACGTTATGTGTTTTCTTTTTTTTTTTTCTCAATTTTATGCGTCTCTCCCAGTGGTTCATATCCCCTCGCTCCTTAACGGGGTGATCTTACCAACAGCCGCTCA